CCCCTCCCCGAAGGGGAAGAAGGGGGGTTGAGAACAGAGAGAGCTCGCTAAACCACTCACGCCCAAACGGCTGGTGGGATTTGCTTTAGACGGGCGACTGGGACCAGGCTCGCAAACTCAGAAGAGGTTTTGCTCCTGCGCGGCATGGGCGCCCACGCGGGATGGACGACGAAGCGGTGCAATCAGATGCGAGAGCCGACGCGATGGTCGACTCCTGTGCGAGGTTCAAAGGGCCCCACGCGCTACGACGCCGACGGCAGCCGCCCCGATTGGCCCTGAGCTGGAAATCCAGATTGGTGACATCACAGAGGAAGAGGCCATCGATGCAGCGCGACGCATGCGATGGGACAAATCCCGTGGCCACGACGGCGTCCCCGGGGAAACTGTGGAAGGCTATTTGCATGCACGCGGGGCCGGGGAGGGAACGGGCGCTAGCCTTGTGTCAGAGCTGGAGAGACGGCTGCGCCCCAGACGCCCGGCACGAAGCTCTCGCGACTGCAATCCTCAAAAAGGCGGGCGCGCCACGGTGTTCTCACGACCGACCTATATGTTTATTGCAAGCAGGATAAAAGATGCACGCCATGATCATTTTGCGCCGCTCGAAGGGCGCCAACGCGAAACCAGTCTCGGTGAATTGGCAGAGCTGGTGGACGAGTTGGCGCACGCGGACGACGCGCTCACCGTGGCGAGCGCGCCCAGACACGCTGAGCAGTGCACGGGTGCAGTGGAGACAACGGGCACGAAGTACGGCCTCACCCTCATTTGGGGGAAGCTCGAGGTCTTGGCCGCGGGATGCAACGCTGTAGCTCGCAGGCCGGATGGCGGTGTCATCCCTCAGCAGGCAGGCGTCGCGCAGCTCGGGTCCGTGCTCTCCGCAGACGGGGCGACGCAGGCTGAACTCGGCAGGCGCCTTGGGCAGGCGAGGGCAGAGTTCGATGTTTTGCGGCGCGTCTGGAACCGCAGCAATGTCCCGATGCATAGAAAAGGTTCACATATACGAGGCGTGCGTGCAGACGAAATTACCGCGCAGCTTGCACACGGCATGGCTGAAGCAGGATGAGCTGGCTCGCATCGACGCCTTCCAAGCAGGATGCTTGCGGAGAATCCTGGGGATCCCGCATTCGTGCGTCAGCCAAGTGTCGAATGCCGACGTGCTGGCGCGTGTGCGCAGGATGAAACTCAGCAGCGTTCTGTTGCAGAAGCATCTCGCATACCTTTTTCAAATTTTGCTTGTGCGGGAGATGACAACCCTCTGCGTTCAGCTGGTTTCAAATTACACCTGAGAAAACCCACTCAGTGGATGAATTGAACAGGAATACGATGGATATTGAGATCGATTGTGAGATCGATGATGATATCGATCGTGGAATCGATAGCGAGGACGATTGTGAGCTCGATCGTGAGACCGAGAGTGAAATCGGTTCAATGATATCGATAGTGAGATCGATCGCGAGATCGTTCATGCGATCTCTAGTGGGATCGATAGTGATATCGATTGTGTGATCGATTGTGAGATCGATGGTGAGATCGATAGAGAAGTTGGTAATGATATCGATGGTGAGACCGATCGATCAGAAAATCGACCAGGAACCCGGGAACCCGGGAACTTCGCCGCCATTCGAAAACGGCCCGGAGGCCGGAACCGGGAACCGGGGAACCCGGAACCGGGATTTTGGGAACCCAGCGTGCGACCAAAGTCGGCGGGGCATTCTCGACAAAATCTTCAACATCCGCGAGGAACCCATCAGTGCAAACAGTGATTGCGGAATTTTCCTCCTTCGACCTCCGCCCCCCCCCTGGCAAGCGGAAGAGTGGCCGACCGCGGCGGCAGACGTGGCGTGCCGAGATGCACAAACTTGCAGAGGATGTATGTGGCAGTCTGCGCGTTACAATCGGCGATGTATGCGCGATCCCAGTTCGAGACTGGAGGCGCGCAGTGCGTTCATTTTGCATGGCGCGGTAATCGCTCCATCTTGTTCCTGTGCCTTCTGACACACGGTTTTGACTGACCGGGCTGGGGCACGATGTGCGCAAGGGTGTACCGAATGGAGGCTCCGAAGAGCTGTCTCGGGGACAGCTGATTGTCCAACATTCACGAAGTGCGTGATGGGTGTGCCGACTTGAGTCTGCAAGGGCCCTCGAGGCCCAGATCGCTAGTATTTTTTCGTGCCCCAGAAGCGTTTGAGCGCAGATCATTTTGTTACGTGTCCCAGGAAATGATGGGGTAGGAAATGCGCGACGGGTGTGCCGAATCGAAATCATTGTTACAGTGTGGGCACGCATCGCACGTATTTTACATGCCCCAAGATCGTATGGGGCAGGAAATGCGAAAAGGGTGTGCCGAATCAAAGCTTTCGCAGCCTTGGGGGCGCAGATCAATCGTATTTTTACATGCCCCAGGAGCTGTCACGCACACCGGCCTAGCCGTGGGAGCACATTCCACTTCCATTTTTTTCGCGCCCCAGGAGAATTGACAAAAGCTTGCGTCATCGAAATATAATCGGCCGGCGGAATAGGCGACCCCCCCCATTTATCATGCCCCACGCATGCCATCCCATTCTCCTCCATCATCCTGCCTTTCGTCATCTCTCCTCGGCACCCAACACGGCGAGGGCCCGCAGGGCGGCCGCCGAATCAATCGTTTCGCCCACTCCGCCGGCACATGTTGCACCATGCACCATTGTTGTTATACGTTGTCGTGCCCATGGCGGGCGAGAAGGAGAATAACCCTAAACCTCGGAGAATAAACCCCCAGGGATAGTAAAGTTCCGGGTTTTCGGGGAGATAATAAAAGTTGCCCGCCAGAGCCAGCATAAAGAGATATCACGAGGAACAAGCCAAAGAAATTTTGAGGATTGTCTCGGTTGAGACATCCTCAACGAATTGCTTGTTTCGCTTGAGACATCCTCGAACACTTTGTCTGTTTCGCTTGAGACATCTTCAAATTATTGCTTATTTCGCTTGAGACATCCTTGAGGGAGGAGGAGGAGAAAGAGCAAGAGGATGAGAGGAGAAGGAGATAGCAAACATCCAAAGTTTAAAACTTATTAGATTTAATGTTTAAACGCTTGATGAAAATTGAAATTTCCATCTGCTCGTGTAGGGTAGCTCACGCGCCTCGTTTTCCCAGGATAATCAATCCCAGCGATAAACAAGTTCAGGGCGCCAGGGGGAGGAGGAGGAGAAAGAGATAGAGAGACAGAGAGAGAGACAGAGAAAGAAAGAAAGAGAGACATAAATAACTACAAAGAGACAGAAGGACATCGGTTTCGCTTGAGACATCCTTGAGGGAGGAGGAGGAGAAAGAGCAAGAGGAGGAGAGGAGAAGGAGATAGCAAAAATCCAAAGTTTAAAACTTATTAGATTTAATGTTTAAACGCTTGATGAACATTGAAATTTTCATCTGCTCGTGTAGGGTAGCTCACGTGCCTCGTTTTCCCCGGATAATCAACCCCAGCGATAAACAAGTTCAGGGCGCCAGGGGGAGGAGGAGGAGAAAGAGATAGAGAGACAGAGAGAGAGACAGAGAAAGAAAGAAAGAGAGACAGAAAGAACTACAAAGAGACAGAAGGACATTGGTTTCGCTTGAGACATCCTGAAACAACGTGTTCGCTTCGCTTGATGTTGTTATCTCAACATAAGAAGGAAGTAACTTCGATGGCGAACTTTCCCGTGATAATGAAGTTCGGCCTCCGCGCCCCCGCGCCCCCGACCAAACTCTTATTGGTCGACGATAAAAAACTCTAACGACTTAAGGGGGGGGTACATTATTATCGTGGGCGTGGGGTTAGTTACGGGACCCGATAGGGGAGGAGGAAAACGAGGACGAGGACGAGGAGCAGGACGAGGAGGAGGAGGTCAGTCGACGGCTTCTTGGGACACTGGGGACCAAATTGGGCCGCGGACAAGACGCCTGTTTGGAAGGCTTCTTGGGGTCTGCTGGGAGGCCTCTGGGCCGGCAGCATTTTTGGAGCCTCCCAGGGTCTTTTGGGGGGCCCGTGGGGCATCCCTTTGGGCTTATGGAGGCCTCTTGAGGGCTTTTTTTGGGCCGCCTGGCGGTCTGGGGGGCCAAATTCAGTGGAAGGCTCGATATGTCTGTTCGGGCTCACCCTCTTGGGACCCTCCTGGGAACCTCTGGAGTTCTCTAGGAAAGCCTCTTTGGCCGTCTTGGGGCCGTCCTGGGAGCCTCTTGGGCTGACTTGGGGCGATCTTGGAGGCCTATTTAGCCGTCTTGGGCGGTCGGAAGCTTGAAAAGGCCGTAGCGTCAAAATATTCCAAAAACCCAAGCAACATCAATGTTGTTTGCTTCTTCGGGCCCTCTTCGGGTCGTCTTGGAGCCCTCCTGGGGCGTGTTCGGCGCCTCTTTGGTCGTCTTGAGACCAACTTGGGCCCTCTTGGAACGCTCTTGGCCTGAGGCCGTGGGGCGCGCCCCCCCTCTTTAGCACCTCCTCTGGGCGCTCCGGGGCCCCTTCGGGGGCCCCCAGGGCCGCGCAGGAGTTCCGGCATCTGTGACCCGGACCTGCCAGGGACTCGCCGGGACCTTGCTGGGACTTCGCCGAGGCCGCGCGCGCGCGAACGAGATTTTGGCACGCCTCTGGCCCGTTAGGCCGGCGAATTAGTTTCAATTCCAAGCCCCGTTCTCCGCGGTCGGCATTTTCTTCAATCCACCCGGTCCACTGGTATTCCGTCCCCACCTCCCCAGGAGCCGACGGGAGATTATTCAGAAGAGTCGAATAACAAGTTGCAGAAGGCAGCAGAGCGAAACAGAAGGCGGAGCAGGGGGAAAGACGACCCGTACCTCCGGCGTGGGTTGCAACGCGCCTTCCTCGGAGCCCTCTGTCCCCTCCCCAGGGCTGACTTGTTTTGCTGGGTCGCTTTCACCCTGGCGCGGCGCCCGGGACGAGATTCCAGACAGCGACAGCGTGGGGAGACAACGATCGAAGCATTCATGGCACTAGAGTTGCGCAAGGGACATCCTTTGCCAGCTCTCCCGCAGCCCGTGAGGTGGACAGCAAGTGCTGCTTGAGGATCGGGGGCGGAAAAGAGGGGGGTGATGACTAGGGGGGGGGATATCATGGCGGGGGTCATGATATTTCCCCAGATTTCATGGCGCCTCTTCTTATTTCATTACGTTCCTGGCCCCCCTCTGGGCCTCTTGGACACCCCCCTCTTGGCCGCTCCCGAGAGGAGGTGCGAATGGATCCAAGCTGGCATTTCGGGAGTCTGGCTCTGAAGACAGCCGCGCCCTATGCCGAGGTCCGATCGCCCCCCGTCGTCGGAGTGCGCGGCGCGCGCTGTTGATGTCTTCGCAGTGGTCCCCCCTCCTCCTCCTCCGCCTCCTCCTCCTCCTCCTCCTCCTCCTCCTCCTCCTCCTCCTCCTCCTCCTCCTCACGGGTAGGTTTTCGCGGTGCCACTTGCTGATGGGTATTCGCGATCTTCTCTATGCAGCAACACTTGTTCCGAATGGCTCCAAAAGCGTTCGAACGGGCTTCCCAGCGTGACCCGAGAAGGCCCCAGGAGGGCACTCCAGAGGACCCCGAGAGGCAAAACACGCGTGTTTTGAGGTATCAGAGTTCCCGCCCGTTTGGTTTTCAGGGCGTCCACGGCGGCTCAAGAGGCCTCTAGGATCGCCCCCAAGACCGCCAGAACGGGCCCCGAAAGGCTCCGCAGTGGGCCTGCGAGAGACCCAAGGTGGGTCTCCGCGAGGATGCCGGTGCAGGACAGCGCACCCGGAACCGCCTGGCGGGTCCTGCGGGAACCCCAGTGTCTCGGCACAAGTTTGTGGCCCCGAGAGCGTCCCAGAAGCCCTGAAAGTTAAGTCGGGCCTGTCCCTCTACAAAAGGAATATTTAGAGATGGTAAGCAAAATAGTCTGGGGATTATTTTCTTGGTATTTTGTGACAATTCTTGATTATGTTCTTGCTTTTTCCTTTTATGTTTCATCGAAAATCGGCCTGTAGGGGGACAGGCCCGACCTGACCCGCGAGGGCTTCGCGAGACTGCCCCACGGGCCCCGGACAACCAACACACGTTTGTTCAGGAGGGACAAAAAACACACAGACGCAATTAATCGTCGATTCCCCAGACAATATGGGAAAATATGGGAAGGGGGGGGGGGGGGACAAAAACCAAGAACATATAGGAAAACATGGGGAATCCTGCTATTTGTGCGTATTTCTTTGCGTGCCCCAGGGCTTCTTCACTTTGCTTCCTGCAGCTCTTCCATGGCATGGGGCCCCGTGCGAGCCCCCCCCCCCCTTGCGCGGCTTCCCGCGGGGCGCTCCCGGCGGGCCCCCGGGGGGGGGGCGGGCAGGCCCGCGGCTGCCGCGGGCGTGCGGGGCGCCCGCCCGAGCGCCGCGTGAAACGGCTCCGTGAGGCGCGCAGGTGGGCCCGGCGCGGGAGGGAGGGGAGGAAGGGAGGGAGGGAGGGAAGGGGGAGAGGGAGGGGAGGGGAGGGAGAAGGGGAGGGAGAAGGGGAGGGAGGGGAGGGAGGGGGGAGGAAGGGGATGGGAAAGGGGAGGGAGGGGAGGAGGGGGAAGGGGAGGGGAAGGGGAGGGAAGGGGAGGGGGGGGAGGAAAGGGAGGGAGAAGGGGAGGGAGGGGGGCGCCGAGGAGGCGCGCCGAGGAGGAGCGGCGAGGCCGAGGAGGAGCGGGCCCGGCGCGCGGAGCGCGGCGCCGCGGCGCCGCGCCGGGCGCGGGCGCGGCTGCGCTCGCCGCGCGGCGCGCCGAGGCGGCGGGCCTCCCATCGGACTCCGGGAGGTCCCGCCGCCGCGAGGGGGAGGGGGAGGGAAGGATGGGGGGAGGAAGGGGAGGAAGAAGGGTGGGCCCCAGAGTCTGTGGACGCCCGAAGTGGGTACGGAAGGACTGGGTACAATGCCCAACAGCAGTTCCCTGCTCATCTTGAACCAGACTCGCTGTCCGCGCCGCCGCGGCCTGTGCCCACTCGAGACACAAGGCCGCCTGCCCAACAGCGGCTGCTGTCGTTTTGGGACAGCATTTATTTTTGGGCATTGTACCCATTATTTCCGTACCCATTGAGGGCGTTCAAACAGAGCACGGACGGAGGGCAGGAAAGAGAGGGAGGCCAGGGTGAATGGGAGGGGGCGGAGCGGGGAGCGAGGAGGGAGCAAGAAGAGGGCGAGGGATCGAGGGAGGGGAAGCGTTGCGGGCGCAGCGGTATCGGCTTTCTGCAACAGCAGCTGCTGCCGCGCGCCAGGAGCTGGAGCGCGGCTTCGAGAACCAGTACGTGCTGGAGGAGTTGCTGGGCGAGGGCACCTACGGCAAGGTGTACAAGGCCTCCACATCTTGCCCCGCTCGGCCATGAGGGCACGTCTGCGTAGTACACGGCCGCTGTTTTAATACATGCTCCGCATGCGGATCATGTATCAAAAAATACAGGGATTTAGTAATACATTCGACGATGAGTTCATGCCTGCATTTAGTCATCCACTAATCATAGATGAAAATCATAATAGGATTAAAAAAATATATGTGTTGACAACTGCCCTGTAGTAGGGGGAGCAGCCGTCAACGCGAGTGGAAGGCGCAAGGAATGGCAAGGACATCTAGAGGCTCTGCGTCTGTTCTTATGGCTCCCCGGACCTGTCCCGGCTCCCGGGTGGCCAGAAACGATTCGGGATGAGAAGTCAGTAACCCGGCGGGATACCGCTGGGGTTAGGTCGGGCCTGTCCCCCTACAGGGGGATTTTCGATGAGAAAATAAAAATACCCAAGAAATGCCCCCCAAAGGTCAAAACATACACCAAAAATAGTCCCCATATTATTTTTCTATTATTTTTGGATTATTTGTTGGGGGTATGTTTTGTTTTCGTCGAACATCCCCCTGTAGGGGGACAGGCCCGACTTAACGCTGGGGGGGGGTCGGGATCTTTATATGGCAGCATGGACGTTGTTGTCAGTTGTTCCCCCCCCCGTTCGGGGAAGCGTGAGACTCGAGCAAGCTGGGGCTCGGTTTTGCCGACGTCTTTTGTGACGAGCGCGTCCTGGATTTTGACGGTCCCGTTCTCGTGGGATGCTTGCAGCGGGAGGTCGCGTCAAATCTCAGATTGGGTCTCGTCATCTTTATGATGGCCCCGTCAGGCCAACCCGAGTCCCCCGTACCCGAGTCTCACGCCTCCCCGACCCGTGTCCACGCCCTTTCTCAGGAGAGAAAAAAACACAGGCACAATTAATCGTTGGTCCCCCAGAAAATATCGGAAAAGATGGGAAGTGGGGGGGGAAGACAAAAACCCCGAAAGTATTGGAAAATATGGGGAGTCCTTTTATTTGTGTGTATTTATTTGTGTGTCCCAGGGCCCCTTCACTTTCGACCCACCCCAATCTCGACCTTCCGAGGCTCCCGTCTGTTTCTCCAGCCCCGGTTGCTGCCATTCCTTGGGGCGGTCTCGCGCTTTGGCGCACGATCCCTGTGCAGTGGGAGGCAGAGGTGCGCTGATGCTTGGAAGGTTTGGTAGACACTTGGTGGGCCTTGCGCGCACCAGCTGGCTTTCCTTGTGGGGCGGTGGGCAGACGGTGTGAAGAACGTCTCAGTTCACATTCTGCCGATCATGTGGTGCCCACTCGTCTAGTGATGCGGTCGACTTGACTAAGCCATGTCTGCGCAAACCACATGCGGCCATTCAGCGCAATAGACTTGGTCTGGTGATGGACGGCAGGCACCTTCGCACAGGCAACATCCTGGGCGACGTCGAGTGCGTCGGCGTAGCGTTTCATGTCCAGTCAATGCGGGCTCCCTCCAGTGGCATTTCCGTGGTGTCATCGTTCGTCTCGCCGTGTCTTCTCGTCGTCCCTTCTGTTCCCGTGCTTAGGATGTGTTCACCTCCTTGAGCTACAGTCGTTTGCCTGCCGTCGCACGACCTGGCTATTCGGCGAGTTGTGTTGTGCTTTCGGCCCCGCTCAGTTTATCATTGCGTTCGGCCCCAGCTCGAACGCAGTCGCTCGGAATAGCATGTGTGTGTGTGTGTGAACGTTTGCGTCTGGGGTCAGAGATCCAGGATTTCAGCTTTCGCAGCTGGAGGAGGAAACATGATGTCAGAGAGGGAGGGGGGGATAAGAGGGCTGAGGGGGGACGTAAAAGGGGAACAATGGGGAATAGGAAGAAATGGGGAGACCAGGACAAGGAGGGAAATCTGTTGTTTGTGTGGCTTACGCCATTCCGCCGACCCCTAGAAGGAGTGAGATCTTGCGAAGATCGTGGAAGCTATCTTGTGGCTTTCGGACAACCCCCTCACCGTACGTGGGTAGTGGCCCACTTGTATTCATATGAGGGTCTCCTGGGATGCCTGCTGGGGGCCTATTGGAGGGCTGCTGGAGGCATCTGGGGGGCCTTCTTGGAGGCTTCATGGAACCTCTTGGGGGGCTCTCGGAGGCTTCGTCTAGCTTTTTTCGGGGGCGCATCCGGAGGGACTGCTTCGAGTCTTTTCAAGACTCCTGAGGGAATCTTGGGTCTCTCTAGAGGCTTCTTGGGGGCTGTTTTGGGGGTCCTACGAGTCATCCTGTGAGGGAGTTCCTGGGGCCGCTTCGAGTTCTCCTTTTGTGCTGTCTTTGGGGCTCTCTTGGGGGCCTTTTGGAGTCTCTTTGGACGCCTTGGGACCCTTTTGGGGACTCCTTGGGGCCTCATGTGGGCGCTTCGGGGGCTTTTGAGGGGCTCGTGGGCCAATCGTGGGGGGAAGGGCTCAGAATGTCCGCTAGTAATCCCCCACCCTGGGCCACTGGAAGAGTGCTTTTGGGGCTCACTTGGGCCATCTAGATGGCTCCTTGCGCCGTCTTGGGGTCGTCTTGGACGCCTCTTAGGTTGTCTAGGAGCCCTCTTGAGGACCTCGTCGGCCGTCTTGGGTCGATCTCGGGGGCTCCTCGGGCCGTCCTGAACGCAGTAGAGACGCACATGGCGAGCATGCTGAAAGCATGCGTTTTCCTACGGAGATGAACGTTTTGGCCAGTTGGGGCTCTCTCGGCGGTCCTCGCGGCACTTTTGGGGCTGCCGTGGTGGCCACGTGGACCGCCACGAAGCCATCTGGGACCGTCGGGGCTGCTTTCGGCCATCGCGATTCTACGTGGGGCGTCGCGGCGCCCTGTCCGGGTCTTGCCGGGCTGTCTTTGGACCCTGGAGAGGTTGCGGAGGCGCCGGAGATGCGCTTGAGCTCCCACCCCCACCCTGACTCCGGATCCGCCCTACGTTGGGGAAATTCGTAGATAGGGCTTGGAATTTCCGCCTTACTTTTCAAGCCCCGCTGATGCCAATTTCCGCCCTACTTTTTTGTTGCTGTTTCCGCCCTATTTCTGTGGATTTCCGCCCCACTATGTTGGGTGCAGAAATTTCCTCCCTACATGTTCGGCATCTTATAGGTGGATTTCCGATGCAATTTTAAGTGGGAAAAAGAAGCCAAAGTAGGGCGGATCCAGAGTCGGGGCACCCCCCCCCCCCCCGCCCCCCCCCCGCCCCCCCTCCCCCTCTGATGCAATTGTGGACCCCTGGGGAGGAAGGGGGAGGGGCACAGCCAGATGTTTCACACGCTTTTCATTCCCTGCAGGCGGGTGTCAGCGGATTCCCGGCGTCTTGCTCGTCACCATCAGTTTATTGCGCGTCGTGTGGTGCGGCACGTAGCGTCTGTCGGGCGCGCACGGCAGTGGAGGCCCGCAACAAGCGCTCGGGGCAGATAGTGGCGATGAAGAAGATGAAGTTGATGGATGTGGCACAGGACTCCTCTGCCGTCGCCCATCCCCCCATTCCTTGTCATTGCATTGGCCGTGCCATGATTACAATCGTCCCTGCTCTGCCTCCACCCATCCTCCTGGTTCCCAGTCCTCTCCTCATGCCAACCCTCCTTATCCTCCCCCTGCGCTGATTTGTTGCCCTACAAGTGTACTCTTAATTCTTCACGCTTCGCGTATCCCCACCAGCCCATCTCAAAACAGCAACTCTAGCGAAGCATGCCGACAGTCGTGTTTTTCAGGCGTGTTTCCGCCTGCCCCCCGCATATCTCCCCTGTTCATCCTTCCTCCCGCCTCCTTGTACATCCTCCTTGTGGTGGGAGCGGGAGAAGGACGAGGCGGAGGAGGAGGGAGAGAAAGCGCTCCTCGTGGTTTGAGTCGTTCGGGCTTCTCGTCCTGGTGTGAGTCGTTCGGGCCCTTCTTCCTGGTGTGAGTCGTTCGGGCTCTTCGTGGTGTGAGTCGTTCGGGCTCTTCGTCCTGGTGTGAGTCGTTCGGGCTTCTCGTGGTGTGAGTTGTTCGGGCCCCTCGTCCTGGTGTGAGTCGTTCGGGCCCCTCCTCCTGCCCGTCCAGAAACGACGCCCAGGCGAGTAGAGGGTCGTCCTGATGGGCTTTTCGGCGTCTTGGGTGCCTCGGGGGGGCCTCTTTGGGCCGTTTGGGATCCTCTTGGGGGCCTCCTGGGGGCCTCTTGGGGCCATCTTGGGGCCTCTTGGTGCCTCCTGGGCGCTTCTTGGGGCCATCTTGGAGGAAATCGATCAAAGAAGAGGGGAGCTTTAATTAGCGCTGCCCCCTCAGAAGGGCAAAATGGGGCCAAAACCTTCGTAAAATCAATGGTTTTGGCTTGAAAGAAGAGGGGAGCTTTAATTAGCGCTGCCCCCTTCAGAAGGCCAAAATGGGGCCAAAACCGTAGTAAAATCAATGATTTTGGCTTCAAAGAAGAGGGGAGCACTTTTCTCCCTCCCCCCGTCGGGGCCAGAATCCTCGTGAGGGGTGTCGTTTTTTAGCCCTCCGAGGAGTCGAAAAAGACCCCTCCGGCGACCCGCGGAGGGACCTCTCCAGGCCCAGGGGGAGGGGGTAGGGGGAGGGGTAAACCCCTCCCCGAAGGGGAAGAAGGGGGGTTGAGAACAGAACGGGCTTTCTAAACCACTCACGCCCAAAGGGCTGGTGGGATTACAGTACCTCCCCCTCCTTGTCCTCCTCTTCTCTCATCCTCCTCCTGCTGTTCCTTCTCCTCCTCCTCCTCCTCCTCCTCCTCCTCCTCCTCCTCCTCCTAGTTAGCTCATTACATCGAGTTCACGATTCCAGGGGCAGCCACTCTTATGCACCGTACGTAGGGAAAGTTGCTATTCATGTCACAGTTGCGGCCGCCTCTCTGAGGGTGGCGATGGCACAGCAACTCCGCTTGTTTGGGTGGAACCCCCAATCGTACACGGGCGACAGTCTAGAGGAGGTAGTGGCGGAGACGGCGAGTTTTGACTTGATCATGATACTGGAGAAAAACCCAAATCATAATCGCTTTGGGGCTATAGGGCTATAGGGCTGGCTATAGGGATAGAGGGCGCTATAAGGCTGTAGGGCACCCAGGCACCTGGGCGTGCCGCTGGAATTGGTGCCAAACCTCACGTAACCATATGAATCGGTTGGGACCCCTACAGAGGCAAACTCTGATGGGGGAGTGGTAGCCGAAACCCAGGTCGATGGGTCGGAGGCGGCGGGTTTGGGGAAGCGTGGTTCTTCGGCGACATGTCCATGGACGATGCGTTTTTGAGGCCCCCTTCGGTCCATCGGCCCCGTGGGGTAAGTCGAGTGCTGCGTGTTCGGTCATTATTGGGAAATCTGCTCGGGGACATCATATCCTTTAGACCTGGGCGTATCCGTCTGAGGCCACACGCCGGTGTCTGGGAGTCTGTTAAGAGGGGAAGGCGTGATCTATGTGCATTGCATATTCATTTCCCTCCGAAGCCATCTCGCGTCCAGCATCGCCCACATTATCTCCGTGCTGCCCGCGTTGTGAATTGACTACGTGCGTTGTTGTGAATGCTGCCTCAAAGGACGACGCTGGTGACCTTCTGTGACGCCAGGGATGGCGTTGGAGTTCCAGCAGGAAGCTCCGTCGCGGGAACGTCTTCGAAAGGGTGTAGGTGAACAGCTTCGCGAATTATTCGAACTGCGTGAGACGAGAGCGACGAATGCTCGAGGGAAATCTGTAATTCCTACGTGCTACGGCATGGCTGGAGGAAGGTGTAGAACCGATTGCTTGGTTCATTCCTAGAGACATGGAGGGTGTTTATGCACATGCTAATGTTCCGCGCCGCCTTGGCGCTCGTCTCCAAGCATTCAGAGGCCCGAGCCCGCGGGGATATCGGCTCATCGAGTGCGCATTGCGATGTGCCCTGCACATCATTGGCCTGTCAGATGCCCTGAAACGCTGTCGCTTGGATCGCGCCAGAGAGATGTTTGCAACTCTTTCGCGGCAACGGTGAGGCGAGCTTCCTCGGGTCGGCGCGGGGCCGGCTGGAGATGTTTGCGATGCTCGAGGATTGCGTCGCGACGGCGGGCCAGGCCCTGTTCGGCGCAGGCCCCTCGGGCAATGGCCCCGCTGGGCAGTCTGAACGCAGGGGTCGACGGCGACTCCTACGCCGGCGCGCTGATCTTCGGGGGGCGGGGGGGCGATGGGGGCCGCGGCCGAGGAAGCGCGTCGCGCGGGCGAGGGGCTGGACCGCATCTCGCAGCGCCAGAGGCTACTCAGACGCAAAGCTGCGCGCGCCCCCCAGTCTCAGTCTGCATCGGAGGCCTCGGATCTTCGGAAATTAGCACAAGCAGGCAGAGGCCGTCAGATTGGCGAGAGGGGGCGGCGCGGGCGCGCATCGGACCGGGTGGGGGAGACGGTTCTCTGGCGCTCTCTGCCTCGTCAACGTCTCAGGCGCGGCTGGGCGCGCGGCCCCGCGCGGGCGCGCGCGGGGGCGCGCCCGCGGGGCTGGTCTGAACGGCGCGCGGAACGGGGCGGTCAGCAGCACTGGCGGGCACCCGACAGAGAAATCACGGGCTCATGCATGGAGGGCGCTGAACGAGTTATTCGACGGATGAGGCGCGCAGCAACGCTACGAGCAGTTCCAGATCTTCCGGTAGCGTTGGAACCATGACTCATTTTGCTCCTTGCGAAGAGAGCATTCAGACTGCGGCGTTGCGAGGGCTTGGGCAGCAGTCTTCGCGCGCAGAAGTTGAAGTTTTCGCTGTCTGCGGAAGCGGGCGCAGCGAGGATCGGGGCGCGCAACGTTGCCCCGCTCAGCTGGCACCGAGCGAGAGGCGCTTGGTCCGCGCAAAGCCAAGATTGCTGGCCCCCGCGGGCGCAGAGCAGCGCGCGCGATGACCGCGTTCGGGAGGGTCTGTTTCTCAAGTCTTCTGCGTTCGCGGACGTCGAGGTTCTCGGCTGCGTTCGCGGACGTCGACGGGGGCGCGTTGCCGCGGGCGCGCCGGCAACTTCGCGGCGGTTGCGAGCCCGGGGCTCGACGTTCGCCGCGACGCTGAAGGGCGCGCCCAGCGCCTTCGGCCGCTCGCCCCGGGGCCAGCTGGACACCGCCGCGCGTCTGAATTCTCGCGAGTGTGATCGCGCACTTTGGCAGCGACGCTACAGACATGCAAGTGCGTCGCTGGGGGCTCTGGAGGGCCCTCTCGCATTTCGGCCCGCTCAGGGGGGCGCGGCGGGGGGTCCGCTTGCTGCCCGAGCCTTCGCGGGAATTTTCGCGCGCCCAGTTTTAGCTTCGAGATAAGGCGGGTTCCAGGCCGACGAGCAGTCGAAGATGCCGCGGGCGTCGCGACTGGGACTTCGCGCGCACCTTAGCACGTGCAAGCTTGCTGCTGTTATTCGCTGACACACGTCGCCGAAAATAATTGCGATTGTAGACGCACGTGTGGACTCATCTTGTGGACTCCAGACATGGCCTGAGCGCGCCCAAACAAGAGCTCTTCCCGTTCTTCGCTGAGCGCGGCTATCGGCGCAGACAGTTGCGCCGGCAAAACCCCGTCCGCCCCGGGGGGCCCTCGCGGGAACGGGCCAGGCACCCAGGGCCCCGCCCGCATCTGAGAGCATAGGCCAGTACTGAGATCTCCAGGAGATGTAGCGCGGCTCGTTGTGGTTTCTCATTTTTCTCCTTGGGCAGGGCCGCGGGGTCTGGAGTCTGGGGCCTCCTAGGTGATGGGAGCGCAGTCTTTTCATCGGGTTCGTCCAGAACGCTTTGCTGAGAGGCCTGAGATTTTCGTGGTTTCAGAGACGGGCACTGCGATGTCGGATGGGCGTCTAGCTCGTCTGGGGCTCGCTGCCACGCTGGCAGAGGCGGCGTCTTGGGGGGGCTCGCGCGTGACGTCGCCATGTAACGAACATGTACTCGAACATTGGAAAATGGCCCCACCCTCGCTGGAGCTGCTGATTCGCAGAGTTAAGTTGCATCGGTCGTGGAGTGCACACCCTGAGGGGCGCGCTCAGATCCCGCGCGCGCCGCTCGGGTCGTCGCCCATCGAGTCGATGGCGCCCCAGCTGCGCCAGGGCAGACCGACCGCGCATGCTGCGCCGCGGACAACGCAGGTGGCATCTGATCTAGATCGAGTCTCCAGGCTTCTTCCGTGCGACTGCGCGAGCGACGTTGCAGGGGACCTGCGACTACTTGCAGATTCAGAGGTTTCATGTTCATGTGGTTTGGGAGGATCTGACAGATCTTCGTATTGAAGTTTTCCGTCGGTCTGCATTCCTCTTGGTTTTCTCTCTCCTGCAGAGCCCCTAGCTGAATTGGGGGAATGCGTCGGGGGCGAGTTGCCCTCTCAGTGCCCGATGGGCCTCGGCAGGGGACCCCGCACTGCAAGAGCGCCTTTAGCACTAGCAGAAATCGATTCGAACACCTACGTCACTGCCACAATCTACGTAGTCCGGCACGCACGCATGCGCCGAGCAACGCGTGCACGCGCTGTCTTCAAACGTTCGCTGCGCCCGCCGCCGCTGCCCGTCATCTACTGTGCTCATTGCCGAGGGGGGAAATGCGTGGCGTGCGACCCCCGCGGCCTGAACCCGCTCGCGACCCGAATCTCCACGAATGCGCGTGCCGTGATTTCGCGGGGCTGGACGCGCTCTGTCTTGATCGTCATATCAGGGTCCACCCCCCTGTCGAGATCGCGCCCTTCGCATCCATATCCCGCGCTTTAACCGCCGGTGCTCAAGGGCTTCGCCGCGGAAGCCGAGGCTTTCCAGAGACCTGCTTGGCGCGGCAGCGCCAGCGCCTCCGCCGCAAACGGATCCCGGCCCGACTCCGAGATGCAGAGAGTGAAAGAGGCGGGCGGGCGGGCAAGGACACCCAGTCCCATTCGACAGGATGATCATGGCAATTGGACAGCTCACCCTCGCACGCAGCCGGGAGCTCGCAGACTTTGGGGCAGCGCGCAACTCGCGCCGCGAGATGGACGCGGGCCAGGGCATGATCGCAGCCGCAGTCGCGGCAGGAGCCGCTCGCAACGAGGAGAGCACATATCTTTTGAAGACGCGCGCCGAAGGTGGAGAACAGGTCAACCGCGAAGAACGTGGAATTTCACGCATTCAGTCCGGGGGCCCGCGGCAGTCCGGGAGCCTGGGGCAACCAAAGCAGCGGCGGAAGAGGTGGGCCCACCGATGAGCTGCGGGCGGAAAAGCTCAAGACATGCGCGCGAGAGTGCTGGGGCGAGGGGCTAAGCAAGTCACCGACGTCGGACGTGGCCCGAGCGGCTCAGCATTTTCGCGGTCGTTTTTGTCGCAAAGTCGACGCGACGGCCAGAAGGACAAGTGCGCGTTCCTCTTCCGGATGGACCCCCATTCGGCGACTGGCTCCGTGGCGGCCCCGATGATCGAGACATTCGCGGCTGCGGAGGGGGGTCCTTTCTTCCAGGGGCAGCGCCGAGAGGGCCGCTGGATAGGGTCGCTTCGAAGTACCTGGATCGCAAGGCGTCGTGGACGGCAGCGGGAGTGCAAGCAGCGCAGTGATTGAGCGTAGACGTCACATGATGCATGACATCTTTAGTAGCAGCTGGTCGACTAACCCGCTAGGACATTGATCGGGTAGCAAGTGTGCGTCTGGCTTTCCTTTCCAAAAGGTTTCGTATCAGTTCGTGCTCCTGAGATTCCAGTAATTTGCATGCTTTCGAATTGTGGCCGCGGCGGCCGACGCCCCGGGAAAACAACTGGCGAGTTTTGGCGGGCGGGGGGCGGGAAGAGGTCGCGCCTGACGCGCGGCCCCCCGCTGAAGGCGGTGTTCCCATGCGCGCGCCCGTGCGCCAGCGCAGTCTGCGCGCTGCGTGCCTTAGAGGAGCTCGCGCCGTGAGACGTCTGGTTTCGGATAAACCCTCTCAGAGCGCAGTCAAGTTTCCTCTGGTTGCGAGGTCGTTAGCTCGACGGGGTCCCCAAGGGGATCTGGTCTGCTGCTCCTCCCCCTCCTCCTCCTCCTCCTCCTCCTCCTCCTCCTCCTCCTCCTCCTCCTCCTCCTCCTCTTCCCCCCCCTCCCCCTCCTCCGCCTCCTCCTCCCCCTCCTCCTCTTCTTCCTCCTCCTCTGCCTGCGCTGCTACGTGCCAGCTCGTCCCTGGCCGGGGGCCCCCGAGCCCGCGCCACGGGCGCCCCTCGCGCCGCCCCACTTTTCTCTCCTCCTCCGCCGCGGCCGCCCTCGGGCACCCCCTGCCCGCGCGGGGCGGGCCACGCTTCGGTTCGGCGACCCAGGCGGCCCAACCGCGCGGCGGCGGAACGCCGCTCGCATCAGGCGCGGGCGCACGGTCGCGCCGCCCTCCGCCGTTGGGCCGCATTCGAGGAGGTGCGCGATCATCGCGGACAGTCGCTCACCCTGCTGGGCGGGGCGCTGTGCGACGCTCTGGCAGCGCGCTTTCGCCGCGGCGATGCTGGCGGTCGCGGTGCTGGCGGAGGAGACGGGCAGCCCCGGCCATGCGACATGCCCGACGCCGCGGCCGACAACGACGCCGCGTTCCTGGAGGCGCCCGGGGCCCTGGGCGACGCGGCCGAGCTCGAAACCGGGCTGGGGCCGCTCTGCCCCGCAGCTGATGCGGCGAGCGGCGCGGCGAAGACTGAGGCCGAACTCGAGGCGCTCAGGGCCCAGGCCGCGGCCGCGGCGGCGGAGGCGGCCTCGCTGGCGCGCGCGGCGGCCTCCGACGCCCAGGGCGCGGCCGCCCCCGACGCCGCGGGAGCTCGCGACGCCCGGGGCCGAGGCACGGGAGCAGCGGGCAGAGACTTGGCGGTGGATGCGCAGAAGGGCCCCCCGCGGGCCAGCCCGCCCCCTCCCGCGCGGCCGAAGCCGCCGCAGGATCCCCAGCGGCTGGCGAGGGCAAGGGTGTTGCGCGAACAACGCGTCCTTGCGGCCGCCACGGGCGAGCTCCGCGCCGCCGAGGCTGGCCTGTCAGTCGCGGGGCCCCCAGCTCACCCTGAGCCGCCTGGGCACCGAGCTGGGCTGCAGGGGTGAGCGCGGCTCCGCGTAGCGTCAGCGCCCCTCCTCCCCGACCCGTCGGGGGGGTTGCGGCGGGCCTGGCCTGTACTTCCACTGGGCCGCTTGCCGGGTCCGTGGTCTTCAACCCGTTCGGTTCGGCGCCCCTCTTCGGCCTCGGGGCGGGGCCGCCTTGCCGCGTCCACGGGCGGGCTTGGGCGCGGGCCCCCGCAGCGCCGCGCATTTTGCGTGCCACTTCGCCCGCGGCGTTCGCGGACGGCCGCGGGCGGCTGAGCGCGACGGGCGCGGGGGACCATGCTCGACCGCGCCTCGGTCTGCTCCGCTCCACTCTGCTTGTGTTGTTGTTCGTTTATTGCCCTTCCTCGTCTCCCACTTCCCTCCTTTTCGCCGTCCTCGCACTTGTCGCGAGTTCGGTTCAATGAAGGCACCTACGCCCGCTTTCCATCCTTGCGGTGAGACGCGTGTTGAAGTCGAGGTTGGGCAGGTCTTGAGGCCATCTTGGAGCCCTCTTGGGCCGCCTTGGGGTTTCTCGCGTAGTCTTGGGGCCTGCCTGGGGCCTCTCTTGAAGCAGCTTTGGCCGTCTCGGGAGTTTTTAAAACATCTTTGAATTTTCTGAGATTATCTTGCTCCAGAATACATTTGAACATACAACAAGTGCATGTTCCCCCACGCGTTAATTAACGCTTTCGCCTCTGAGGGCCGCGGCCTTTGAGCGCCTCGTGGAGGCGTATCGGAACATATGAGTGAGATATTGAATCGCTTGCGAGCTCGATGGGCCGACTTTGAATGGTCTTGACGCACCTTCGAGCCCTTTCCCGAACGGCTTCCTGCTGCTTCAGAGCTGTTCGGAAACCAATACTGGCGCCAGTGAGCAAACCACTGGGCCGATCTTCTGGCTGTGCTTGTGGCCAGGACGTGGGAGGGGTCGGCACTGGCCCCCGATGGCCGTTTCATCGGCCGGGGATTTGGTTCAACGGGATTCTGTCAAGCAGTGGCGAAGCGTCTTGGCGTGCCTGCAGGCCTACCAAACAATGTTATAAGAACCTTTTTGTGGTTGCCACGAACTGTTCTTGAAACATTTCTGGCCGGGACTGTGTTGCTTTAGCGCATCGGGTTTATGATCAAATAACACTTGGAACGCAGGTGTGTTCAAAGACCATTTCGTGGAGGACTATAGGAATGCCAGGACGGTCGGCCCCTGCTCACTTATGTCTACGAAAAGAAGGAACGAGGAAAGGACACACTCCCTGGAGCATTACAGTCCACCCCTTATAGTAAAAACGAGCGATTATCCGAGGTTGCCCTTGCATCCTTCCCCGTTGGCCCATCCTTGGCCGCTTTCGCTGGCCATGCCCCGCTCGCAAAGTTTCGACATGACCTTCCGAGGCCCTTGCATTCTTATCGCGCGTCCTTACTCTACGGGTTGACTGTAGGAGGCCACCGCCAGATAGTCTCGGGCGGACGGAATTGGGGGGGCAAATCGTTAGGGGGAGGTCGAGGGCTGCTGCATGGAAGTTGGCCCCCCAAACGCCCCTAAACTGTCACCGCGGGCCGAAACGGTGGACGAGGAGGTACGAGGAAGGCAAGGACATGGACGAGATGGACGAGGAACCGCCGGAGCAGCTGGAGGCAGAGGCAGCGCGCCGTGTCCGCCAGTTTTCGCATGGTTCAGTGGCGCAGTGCAGACCAGCCGAGACAGCCACAGGGCGCCCAGCGGCCAGCCGATGGATCGCAAGACTTTGCCATGTTGGTCCATCGACGCAGCCGCCCTGGCCGCAAGGTGCACGTTCCTTCGCTCTACGCTCGTGCCCTCGGGAGGGGGGATCTCCTCCTCATCCTCCTCCTCCTCCTCCTCCTCCTCCTCCTCCTCCTCCTCCTCCTCCTCCTCCCCGCCCACGTGAACGAACACCCGACTGAAGAGGACACCCGCCGATAGAGGGCCCTCCTGGGAGAGGCGGGGCCGGGAGAAGGGTGGCCCCCGGACGGAAGGACGGACGCCTCTCCACGGCGGCGCCCGCCCCAGGAGGAGGGCATTCCCAGCACCGCGCTGCGCGAGGTGGCGCTGCTGAAGGACAGGCGGCGGCGGCGGCGGCGGGCGACGAGAGCGTCGGCGGCGGCATTGGCAGCAGCAGGCAGAGCAGGAGCTGCGTGAGGAGGATCGGCAAGAAGAAGAGGACGCGTCAGCACAAGCAGATCTGCTTGCATAAGCATCGGCGGGAGGCGGAGTATCAGGAGGAGGAGGAGGAGGAGGAGGAGGAGGAGGAGGAGGGGAAGGGGTGCGTCCGTGTGCGAAGCCTGGCTGGGGTCGGCGCCATCCATCAGCGCTCTGCGCTGGCCCCCCGAGGACGACAGCAACCTGACGCCCGAGCCGCCTAGCAGTGGCCATCCTCGGGGCCCGCTGCAGCTTCGAGCGCAGGCCCGCGCCCGGCCGAGGTGCCCAGCAGCGAGCGGGCAGCCCCCCCGCCACGTCGTCGCCTCGCCTGGCCGCCGGCGGGTGCAGCGTCTGTGCGCGCCGAGCCAGTGCGGCTGGCTGCTCGCCGCCTGCCGGCGCGTTGGCCGCCGCGCTATGGCGTCGCCGTCCGGCGCCGCGCCGTCGCCTCGCCCGCGAGTCGCCCGCCGCCTGGCGCGCCGCCCAGCGCAGGCAGGCCGTCTTGCGGAGTTGGCGCGCCGCGGCCGTCTTGCAGGCCGCAGCTCAGGACCTTGCAGGCCCGCGCCAGCTCCCGCGGCTGCTGGTCCTCTGGCGAGCGTCGCACCCGCCCAGAGATCCGACGTCGTGATTTTTTTCAATGCGGGGTCCCCAGAAGTCTCGACCCAATCCCCCGGGGCCGGTTTTTCATCCTGAGTAGTTTTGTTGACGGTCCTGGGGCCCGGCGAGGGCCTCTAGAGGTCGAAAATTATGAAAAACCTGCGTCTCGATTTTTTCAATGCGTTGGATCTCTGGGCGCCCGAGCAGCCAGAGGCGGGCCTCGGCGCCGAGCCGCCCCCCCGACTCGAGGGCGAGGGGCGTCAGCCGGGCGCCTGGGCAGCGGGCGCGCTGCTCCCGCTCGCCGCGCCTGCTGGCCTCGCCGCCCCGGCGCGCGGTCATGTGCAGCTCGGCCTGTGTGCCAGCTGCGGGGTGGCGGACAGAGACGTCAAGCCACCGGGCCACGTCGTCTTCCTGGTAGTCTTAAGTCGGGCCTGTACCTCTACAGGGGGAATATACAAAAATAATCAAAAAATGCAATGGGGACTTTTTTTTTTGCGTATTTTTGCAAATTTTGGAGTATGTTTTGAATATTTTTTGTTTTTCGCCGAGAACCCCCTGTAGGGGGACACGCCCGACTTAACAGTAGTGCAGATCCAGGGAGACGACGGGGAAGAGGGGGAGATGAGATCAGACGGATGAGGCGGAGGGGGCAGCAGCAGCGGCGGCAGAAGCAGAGGCAGGACTGGGCGGAGGCCGTGGGGGAGTTGGGGGGGGGCGAGGAGGAGCATCAGCATGGGGGCGGAGGGCCAGGGACGGAGATAGGGAGAAGAGGAGGGGAGGATGAGAAAAGGAGCGAGAGCAAAAAGAGAAGGAAAGGGAATGGCATGGAGGGCTGAAGGAATGGACGGAATGAAGGGCAGGAGGGAGCGAGGAAGGGAAGAGAAGAGCAAAGAGCTCTCCCACATGGACGCGGTGTGGGCGCGACAAGCATGTCGGGACCTTCCTGCGCGTGCAAAAGAGGGAGGGAGATAATGAAGGGACAGAGGGTCAGAAGTTGAAAAAGGGGGGGAGGCAGGGTGGGCGGGAGAGACGGAGGCAAACATTTGCAGGGAAGGAGGAGGGGGGGGGGTGCACCGCTCCTCTGCTCCCAGAGCCGGCCAGGGCAGGCACGGCACATGCGCAGTGATCGCATCAAGGGGATCTGCAGCGAAGATCGGCCCTGGCCAGTCCAGCGCAAGAGCGAGCGCCTCCGAGGGTGCGAGGTGGCGGGCGAAGGGGCTGCAGGCACCCGTCCCGGTTGCCGTGGGCGCCGCTGCTCGGCGCGCCCCCCCTTGTGTCAGCGGCGCGTCGCAGCCAGAGCCTCTGTGCCAGCCTGGCTTCGTCCTGCCGCCCTCGTGCCTCTCCGTCCCCTTCCCTCCCCCCTCTCCGTTCTCCCTGTCTGCCTCGCCTCGCCGCGTCTGCCCTCGCCGCGCCCTCCCCCCTCCCCCCCCCCCCTCCGTCCTTCTCCTCTCCTCCCTGCCCGCGGGGCACGGGAGGAGCTCAACCACGAGAACATCGTGAGGCTGGAGGAGGTGTTCTGCTCGCCCAAGAAGCTGGTTCTGGTCTTCGAGTTCGTGGACAGCGACCTGAAGAAGTACATGAGGCCATCCGAAGACCCAGAGGAGGGAGAGACTTGCAGCAGGGCTCGGAGAAGGAGTCGCTGCAGCTGTAGCAGAAGTTTGTGCATCATTAGCAGTGCTACTAGCATTCGCATACACAGCAGCAGCAGTACTCGTAGTAGTCGTAGTAGCCGTAGTGGTCGTAGTAGCCGTAGTAGTCGTAGCCCACGTAGTAGTGGTTGTAGGAAGAGGGGAGCGGGGCAGTTCTGGGGGCTCTGGGGAAGTACTCTGACCTCGTAGCCGTGCTCGGAGGTCGCTGAACCGCCAGCTGGCGCCAGCCGTCATCAAGAACATGACCTATTCGGTGGGCTAACCGCCAGCGCTTGCCGCCCGGATGTGCCTCCATCTCCATCTCCATCCCCCGTCCACACTCCACGATCATCCTGTTCTATTTGCCCTCTTATTCCCTCCTTGTCCTCATCTTCCCCATTCCTGTTCCTTTTCCTAATCCTTCCTCCGACCTCCGTCACGCTTTGTCTTCCTCTCTCCTTCGTCATCATCGCTACCCCTCGTGTTCTTTGTTTGCGGCGGGGAAGGAAGAATACGAGGAGTGAGGGGGCGCGGGAGACAGAGGAACGGGTCATGGCGTGGAGGAGGGAGAGGGAAATGAGTTGGACTGGCGTGGGAGAAGGATGAGGATAATTGTTTCCAAGATTTTCGGCGAGCACATTGTGCTATCCTCTGTGGCTGCCTGGTCTCGCTAGGCGTACAGCGTTGTCTTCTTCCGACTGGGGCCAGGCGGCCAAAAAATTGCTGAGGTGTATTACATGCTGAGCAACAGTGCACCGTCGCTCCAATTAGCCGCAGCTGTTTAGAATCGACCCACAACACGTGAAACAGGATTTGCCCCCCTTTCCCTTCTTGAGAGCCTCCTACACCAGGTCCAGAGGAGCGCCAGGGGGAACGGCTTTCTGGAGAACGCGGATTATCTAAGCCCGCATGTTCCGTTCAGTTTGGGGAAGACTTGGGCTCATCGCCGCCGTCCAGAAAAGGCCGACAAGCATGGCAGCGTCGAATGCCTTGCCGTGCGTGCTCCTATGATTCTCCCTGCCCACGCCCAAGTCCCTGCCGCCGATCAGGGCCGCCTGCTGCGCCGCCAGCTGGCCCCCCACTCGTCGGGCAGCAGCGGCGATCCTGGCGCCGCAGACTGCTCTGCCAACCGCCGCCCCTGTTCTGCCTGGCTCGAGAACACGTCGAACGACTTCTGGGTCCGAGCCCCGGCGGCCACGGAAGGCGGCAGCGAGTCCGGGCTCGCATGCGAATCTGCGGACTCATGTGTGCATATGTACATACACATACATCGAAGAATGTCGGAGCTTCGGAGCTTCGCGCCGATCTCCTGGACCGGCGCCAGGGGCGCCGCCAGTTGGGTCCAGTGCAGATCCAAGAAACTCGTGCGAAATGTTTCACGTTTTTATATGTGTGGGAAATTGTTCGCTCTTCTGACATTCGCACCTCCAATTTGGAATCTTGCGACGACACAGATCCTACGGGGATATGCTCGCCATCGTGCGCGGCCTTGTTGCGCCAGACGTGAGCCAAGACGGGCGTTTGTCGGGATGATTGGAGAAGGAGCAGCAGGAGGCGAACGGATGATGCAGCTTCGAATAAGAATGACGGCATGCGCATCACTTTTCAGGGGTCCACGCGGCTCTCTTGGATCGCGCCGTGGGATGGGGGTCCATGTTGCGCTCTCTGTCAGGAGGGGAAAAACACACAGACATAATTAATCGTCGACTCCCGGGAAAATATGGGAAAATATGGGAAGTGGGGGGGAAGACAAAAGCCCAGAAAATATTGGAAAAGATGGGGAGTCCTGTTATTTGTGTGCATTTATTTGTGTGTCCCAGGGCCCCTTCAGGAGGGCAAGACGGGACACAGAGGGAAGGAGGGAAGGACGGACGAACGAGAATGGAGGAACAACGACAGAGGACGTACAGTCAACCCACATAGCAAGGATGGGCAACCTTCCCAAGGGTACCTTTGCATCCCTGCCTCCTCGGTCCATCCTTGGCCACTTTCATTGGCCACGCCCCGCTCGAAAAGCTTCGATGTGGCCTTCCAAGGCCCTTGCATCCTTATCGTGCGTCCTTGTTGTACAGGTTGACTGTAGGAGGGAGGAGGAAGGCAAGAAGCGGGAGCATGGGCCAGGATGAAAGTGGAAGGGGGACGTAGGAAGGACGAAGGTGGGAGGAAGCTAGAGGATGAGGACAAGCCAGGTGCGCTCGCGTCATATCTGAAGTCCGATCCCTCCCTCTCATCCCGTCCCATGGCGCTGATTTTTCTCTATCCGCGGACGCGTGTCATAGCCGACCTGGAACTCCAAAGCAGACTCCATGGTATGATGCGCAACCGGACAAGGGCAGCTGCGTAAATGCGAGGTGGTGGTGGTGGGTGAGCAGGAGGACGAGCAGGAGGAAGAGAATGAGAACGAGGAAGGAGGAGGCCGAGGACGAACAAGAGCAGCAGGAACTGGAGCGAAATGAATGGGAGGAGCAGGAGGATCAGGGGAAGGGAAGGCGGAAGAGAGAAAGGAGGGGGGCGACAACGATGAACAATGATTCGGATCCTCCGATCCGAAAATGAATCCCCACGCTGAAGCGGGAGCACCACTTCGGACCACCGGTAACAATCGGATTGTAAGAACCCAAGAACACATGCATGTTTAAACTCCCTTGTGAGCGCAGTACGCGGAGAGGGCAGGGCACCTTCCGCACAGCGTCAGGGGGAGAGAAGAGTAGATTTTATGATGTACAGTTGTGGATGAGCGCACGAAACAGAAAATGGATGGAGAAGGAATGGAGAAGGAGGCATGAGCAGGGATGGAAGAAGGTCGAAGGAGGAACAAACGGTTGGAGGAGGGCGCGGAGGACGATGATTGAGGACGGCCGAGGAGGAGGAGGACCTAGACGACGACCAGGATGAGCATGAGGACGACGAGGAGGGCATTCCGATGCACAGCCCTCGCAACCCTGGGCGTCGCCGCCTGGCGCCTCCCACCTGGAGAGAGGGGGGCCCGCCGACCAGCTGTGCCGCGGCACCGAGTTCTGCCACGCCAGCAGGCCTGCCCGGCCTGTTGGTGGTTCCTCGCTCTCCCCCCCTCCCTCTCGCCCTCTCTTCCCCTCCAGCTCTCGTCTTCCTCCTCGAGTTCCTCCCTTCCATCTCTGCCTCTCTCTCTCTCTCGTTCTGTCTCTCTCTCTCTCTCTCTCGGTCTGTCTCTCTATATGTCGGGGGTGGACAGACCTCCTACCCTCACACGTCGATTAGTGAATTGTCCGTTTTCGGTTATCGAGAGGGCGCCGCGGCCGTCAATTTCCAGGCTTGCGCCCGCCAGTTTTGGGCCCGAGGTCGTTTTCACTGAACAACGTTTTACTAAAGGGAGGTCTGTCCATCCCCGAATCTGATAACCAGAGAACAGCAAAGTCTTTTTTGATCTTACATGGGATCCCTTTGTAATTGCTCCTGAGGTTTACGTAGCACCCCGCAGACGCGGAGAAGAGTGAGGGTCAGGGGGCGGTGGGGACGTCGGCAGTTTGCGAGACTCTGGAGAAGCCCGCCGCAGGCGCCAAAGTTTCACAAATTATACAACAAGCCCGCCGCAGGCGCCGATTTTTTCGTGAAACCAATGTGGGTCGGGCGCGGGTGGGTCGCTGTTGTGTCGCGGGTGTAGAGGGCAGAAAATCCGCCCCATAAGAATCACCCCGACAAGCGAAGCCGCTTAGTAAACGCACACAAGGAATGGATCGAACAAGGCAGGGCTGTTATGTCAACGCCCAGGGCCGTTTAGTGAACGTCAATTGTCGGGTCCGGGTGGTTTTTCCTCGCTTGAGGGTGGGTCGCGGGTGGGTCGCGGGGTGGGTCGCCAGAGAGTCTCGGATGGGTCTCGGATGGGTCGCGGGGTGGGTCGCGGGGCGGGTCGCGGGGTGGGTCGCGGGGTGGGTCGCGGGTGGGTCGCGGGTGGGTCGCAGGATGGGTCGCGGGTGGGCCGCGGGGCGGGTCGCGGGTGGGTCGTGGGTGGGACGACGACAACAAACAACAAACAACAACCAACAACCAACAACCAACAACCCCAACAACAACACCAACAGCAGGAACAACAACAATCATTTTACCCTCATGCGCGATGTTTCCACACGAAGCATTCGACCATCGTGATAACCATCCACAGAATGGGGAACTCTTGTTCTATAGCGGGGTCCGTTATTCCCATTTCCAAATCTCCCGCCCAATGAGGTCTTGCAAACACCTGCTCCGAGGAATTTCAACATATCCCGCCTCGAAAACACATGCCCGCGCCTTGCTGCGCGATGCGTGGAACCCCAGCGACGGGTAAAGCACAGGGGAGTATCGAACGACAGGAATTGCCTTTGTGGGGATAGGGGCTGTCGGCGGTGAGGCAAGGACCTGGCCCTGAATAGAAAGGGAGGAAGTCTCGAGCAGGACTGCTGTTATTGCTGAGAGCGGCGCCAATGCTGAAGAGAGTAGGGCGCTAGTCCAGCGTAAAACAAAACGCAGTCTCGAGCGGGAACGCTGGTTTTGTTGGGACGGCGGCTTTCGGCGGCGAGGAGGAACACCGCCTTGAGTAAGAAAGGAGGAAGCATCGAGCGGGGTCCGTGGTTTTGCCGGGACGGGGCTGCCAGCAGCGAGGAACAGCACCGTCCCGAGGAAAAAGAGAAGACATCTGTAGCGGGAGCGTTGTTCTTGTTGGGAGAGAGTTGGGCGCCAGTCCAGCGTAAAACGGAAGGAAGTCTCGGGCGGGAGCGCTGGTTTTGTCGGGGCGGCGGTTTTCGGCGGCGAGGAGGAGCACCGCCTTGAGTTAAAAAGTGAGGAAGCCTCAAGCGGGAGCGTTGTTTTTGCTGGGGGGCGGTGCCGATGAGAGAAAGACTGGCGCGCCAGTCCAAGGTAAAACGGGAGGAAGTCTCGAGCGGGAGCGCTGGTTTTGTTAGGACGGTGGCTTTCGGCGGCGAGCAAGAACACCAGCCCTGAGTAAAAAAGGAAGAAGTCTCGAGCGGGAGCGTTGTTGTTGTTGTTGTTGGGGGGCCAGTTTTGGCGGTCCCCCAAACCGTTCAAGCGTGAGCCTCATTTTAAATAACAATGTAACCGCCGCCTCGGCAAGAGCGCCAGGGCGCCTTTAAGCGGTCCAACAATAAGAATTGTTTAGTAATTAACATTCAACAACAACGCAACGAGCAGAATTCTCACCACGACTTCTTGATTCAGCAGCGCACGCAGGGACAATGAATGACCATTTGGCCCCCTCACTCTGATGAAGTCTGCGAGGGCTAGGAAGTCCATGAGGGCTACAGGGCTATAAGGCTATAGGGATATAGGGCTATAGGGCTATATGGGCCTTAGGGCCTATAGGGCTATATGACTATAGGGCGATATGGCTATAGGGCTATAGGGCTATAGGGCCATAGGGCTATATGGCGATAGAGCACCCGGGCACCCGGGCACCCCTGGGCTTTTCAGGGCACCCGCAGGCACTTCCGGGCACCCCCGGGCACCTGGGCACCCGTGCACCTTTGGGCATGCACCCCGGGGCAACTGGGCACCCGGGCACCCGGGGCTGGCCACCGAATTCGGTTCGGCGACGCACCTCACTTAACCATAGGACCGCTAGGATCCCTACAGAGGCAAGCTCTGATTGGGGAGTATATATATATATATACAGAACTATTCCGCTTCCTATATTCCAGAGGATTCCGCCGACCCCCAAAATAGGGATGAAGTCAATGGGTGAGGCCTTTGGGGGCCACCTGTGGAACCCTCTGGGGGCCTCTTTTGGGCTTCTTGGGGGCCTCTTCGAAATTCTGAGGCGGTCTCGGGGGTCCTCCAGGGGCGGAGGGCTCGGAATGTCGGTTCAAGTCATCTTTCTTGAAGCTCTCTTGGGCCATCTTCTTGGGAGACTCTTGGGCCGTCTTGGGACCCTGTGCGGCCGTCTTGGGACCCTCTTGGGGGCTTATTGGGCCGTCTTGGAGCGATCATAGGGGGCCTTTCGAGCCTTCTTGGACGCTGATGAGACCAAACATGCTAAGATAATAAGATCAGTTACACGTTTCCCCCAGAGTTTGGACGGTCCGTGTTTCTTGAGATACCCTCTTGGGGCGTCTTCGAGGCCTCTTGGGCAATCTTGAGGCTGTCTTGGTCGTCATCGAGGACTCCTGTGCGTGTTGGAGTCCTGCTTGAGATCAAGAGCAGATCGATTCCATGGCATCTTGGAGGCCACGGAGTGCAGACGTGGAGTCTCCGGAAGCCCCGGGGGAACGTTGATGAGCTCGGAGTCCCACCCCCCCTGGGCCTTCCCCCTCGAATTGGGTTTCAGACCTCAGGGGAGAGCGAAAGGGGGACGGGGAGGAGGAGGAGGAGGAGGAGGAGGAGGAGGAGGAGGAGGAGGAGGAGGAGAAGGAGGAGGAAAAGGAGGAGGAGGAAAAAAGGAGGAGGAAAAGGAGGAGGAAAGGAGGAGGAAAAGGAGGAGGAAGGAGGAGGAGGAGGGAGGAAGGAGGAGGAGTGAGGAGAAAAGGAGAGGAAAAGGAGGTAGAAAAGGAGGAGGAAAAGGAGGAGGAAAAGGAGGAGGAAAAGGAGAAGGAAAAGGAGGGAAAGGGAGGAGGAGGAGGAGGAGGAGGAGGAGGAGGAGGAGGAGGAGGAGGAGGGAGGAGGAGGAGGGAGGAGGAGGGAGGAGGGAGGAGGTGGAGGGGTGCAGCCTTTTTCTCCCGAGCGTCCCGCCCCCCACGGGGGGAAGTGGCAGTCATCACCCGTCTGGAAGAGCATGCCTCCGCACAGGCGCTCAATGCGTTTGCTAACTACTCTCCTCTCTGCCTCCCCCCCCCCTTTATCCCGCTCCCCTCCCCCAGTCCCCTCCCCCCCTCGCCACGTCGCCTCCTCCCCGAGGGCATCCTGGGCGCCTCCATCGGCTTCAGCAGCCTCCCCAGGCGTATCCGCGGTCCTCCCCCCAGGGAGGGACCTCTCGCGGGGGGGTGCGCGAGGGCCCCCCCCCCCCCTCTCCCGAGCGTCGTCCTTCCACCCGCGGGGGCTCCTGCCCGCCTCCACGGGCTGCCGGGGGCCTCCCCGGGGGGCGTCCGCGGGCCTCCTCGGGGAGGGGGGCCCCGCAGCGGGACGCGGAGCGATGGCGCGTGGCGGTCGCCGCACACTCGCCTGGCATCGCTTGGACGTGTGCATCTTTTCTCGGCGAGAACCATCGAGGACCATCCTCGACCAACGAGCAAAAAAAACACGCACGAAACCGAAAACTGCACGGGAAACGGACGTCCGAGCGACGGCGAGTTCGGGTTGAGGGGCGCGCCGCCCTGTCCCGAGCGCCATCGTGGTCACTGTAATCTCGCTTCGCGCTCTCCCCACAGAGCCAGGATCATCCATCGCGACATCAAGCCTCAGAACCTGCTCATCGAGCACCTCGAGGGCGGCCGGCTGCGCCTCAAGATTGCGGACTTCGGGCTCGCGCGAACGTACAGGAGTGGCGTTTCTGTGGCTACCCCCGTCGACTGCTTGGGATGGACCAAAGTATTCAGGCTTGTCATGTGTTTTAATGGTGCGCCGCCAGTCCTGTGATCTCAAGTTGCTCCCAGCTAGGTTATGTTGTCCTTGAAGGGGCTCGACAGCGAAAAAGAAAAGGGGAGATGTGTTGTGTGCAGATGGTTCGCGATTCTGGGCACAAGGCCGACTTGTCATATCTCTCTTACAGACTCTGATGTTTCCCACTGCAATCAGTGAGCCATTGTGTGAGAGGCCGTGCTCAGTCTTGAGGTGTCACTGCAAAGACTGTGTTTCTTCTGGGCGGCTGCACGGGGCGTATATCGTACGTCTGGGCAGCGGGGGGACCTGGGCCCTGGGGCCCCCCAGAGACAACGCACTGATGCTCCATCGTTTTTGTCCCCAAGTAGAGCCGTGCACGTAGGGCACCTTACTTCTGCTCTGAGGAATTGGGCCGGCTTAGGGTTTAGGGTTTAGGGTTTGGGTTTAGGGTTTAGGGTTCCGTGCCGGCCGTCGCCGCCCCGTCGCCGCCCGTCGACTAGGCCGTGTGGGCGGTTTGGCGGCTCCGTGCCGGCCGTCGCCGCCCCGTCGCCGCCGTTGGATTGCACCACGTAGATTGTACGAACAAGTTTTCGCGTTGCGGTGCGCTGTTTGATCGCTCACAACATCGGCCGCACCACATAGTTTGCAAGACATAGACTTCACAGCATATATTGCACAGCCATGTATATATACAGATCTAGAATGATCGCTCACAACATATTTGGCGCTACATGTGTATATATATATGTATACTTATATACATATATATAGAGATATTGCACAGCATCGATTGCTTCACATAGGTAGCACAGTACATATCGCACAACATAAATCGCACCACATATGTTGCACTACATATTGAAGACGCCTACGGCGAAGAAGCGCCTATGTGGCTGACAGCTGGGCTAAAGCCTGGCCAAGCTAGCGGGGCGGTTGTTCCCCGAGTTGGTTTGGAGAGCCTTCGGGAAACGTGTGGGGGAGCAAGAGGTTTGAAAGCGCCCATTTGTCCGAGCGTTGTGGCAAGAGCTCTGCCAAGCTGTCGGACCATGTGTTCCCCAAACCGTTGTGGAAACCCTTCGGGGAACATTTCTGGGAAGATGGCGGGGAAGATCAGGAGGAGGAGGAGAAGGAAGAAGGAGGAGGAGAAGTAGGAGGAACATAAGGAGGCGGATATGAGGAGGAGGAGGAGTCTTGGGCGTCTTGGAGGCCTCTTGGGCCGTCTTGGGGTCCCCTTAGGGCCGTCTTGGGCCTTTTTGGGCGATCTTTGGGGGCACTTGGGCCGTCTCGGGCCGTCGGAAGGCAGAACAAAATGTAAATGCCACAATCCTTCAAACATTCATTCATGGGCAATCTGTGATTTTGGCATGTTCTGGCCTTCCTGGGGACCCTCTTGGAGGTCTCTTGGGCCGTCTTGGGCCATCTTAGGGCCATCTTCGGCCGTCATGGGTGGGTTCCCAGCCCGTCTGACGCCGTCGGAAGCTGTTTTGGTGGCCTCTCTGGGTCGCCTCGGGGCTCTCTTGGAATGCTCCAGGGCCGTCTTGGAGTCCATTTGGGGCGTCTTGAAGGCCTCCTGAGCCGTCTTGGGGGCCTCTTGGGGCTGTCTTGGGGGTCTCTTGGGCCGTTCTGGGGCCATCTTGGAGGCCTGTTGGGCGATCTTTGGGCGATCCTTGAGAGCTCTTAGGCCGTCTCGAACAGTCGAAAGGCCGAACAGACGCAAATGTCAAAATCCTTCGAAAACCGCAGGGCGTTGATTGTTTTGCGTCTTTTCGGGCCTTCCCGGAAGCATCTTGGGCCGTCTAGGGCCAGCTTCGAGCCAGCTTCGGCCATATTGGTGGGCTCCTGGCTCGTCTGACGCTGTCGGAAGCCGTTTGGGGGGCCTCGCTGGGCCTATTTGAGGCCCTCTTGGGGTGCTCCAGGGCAGTCTTGGAGGCCATTTTGGGCGTCTTGGAAGCCTCTTGGGTCGTGCTTGTGCCCTCTTGGGCCCGTCTGGGGGGCCTCTTCGGCAGTCCTGCGGCCAACTTGGAGGCCTCTTGGGCGCTCTGGGTGCGATCTTGGGGGCCTCTTGGGCCGTCCTGGGTCGTCGGAAAGCCGAAAAGGAGCAAATACGAAACATCCTTAAACACCTAGACAAAATCAATAGTGTAGCCTCTTCGGGCCCTCCTGGAGGACCTCGCAGAGGCCTCTTGGGCCGTCTTGGAGGCCTCTTGGGCCGTTTTGGAGGTTTCTCGGGCGGACTTGGAGGCATCTCCTCCTCTCTTGGGCGGGCTTAGAGGCCATCTTGGACCATCTTGGAGGCCATCTTGGGCCAACGTGGCCATCTTGGAGGCCATCTTGAGCCGTCTTGGAGGAAACATTGGGGATCGAGATCCTTTTCAGGTGGCCTGCGGGACGCGCCGAAGCCCCAGGTGAGGTTCTTTGGGAAAAAGAGCCAAAAGTACAACCGAAAGGGTCCAGCACGCCAGGCACCCTTGCGATGAATCGACAAGGGGCGGCGGATCCAGCTGCCTACGTCAAGTCCCGCCACCGTGACTGGGCTGGGCTTATAAGCCTAGTAGATGTTCGTTGGAATCTCGTGGGAGGCCTCTCGGGGGCCTCTTGGAGGACGGTTTGGGGCTTCTTGGGGGCCGTTTTGGGCATCTTGAAGGCCTCTTGGATGCCTCTTGGGGCCTCTTGTGCGTCTCTTGAAGCCTCCTGGGGGCCCCTTGGGGCGGAAGGCTCGGATTTTCGGTTTGTGCTCCCTCTCTGGGGCCCCTTTGGGGGCCGTCTTGGTGTCCTCTTGGGCCGTCTTGGGCGCCTTTTGGGCCGTCTTGGGGCGCTCATAGGCCGTTTTGAGGCCTTCATGGGGACTTCCTGGCCGTTTTAGGGTGGTTCTGAGGGCCTATTGGGCCGTCTTGGGGCGTCGGGAAGCCGCCTCTTTGAGGCCTCTTGGGGCGCCGTCTTGAAGCCAAGTTGGGCGTCTTCGAACGATCGTTCGGCGACTCGGGGCTCTGTTGTACCGTCTTGGGGGCCTCTGGGCCGTCATGGAAGCTTTGGAGAGCCCCAGGGAAGCGCCATGGCCGCCCAGGGGCCCCTGGGAGTACGGCTGGGGCGCGCGGGGAGGTGCGGCCAGGGGAGGGGAGGGCCCTCTCGAAGATAGCAAAACACCTGCCAGGCAGCACTTGGAATTCTAGCACGCCTCAACGTTCCAGGGGGCACGGCGGCAGATATTGCACAGCATACGTTGCACCACATGTATTCCACAACATATACAGCAACACATAGAGCAACGCAGACTGCACAACATCGATTGCACAACACAGGCTGCATGACATATATTGCACCTCGCAGATAGCACACCACATATTCAATTACGTATATTCTCCTTTCTAAAAAAGAGAATAAACTCTACCCCCCCCCCGGACTTATCAGCTCCCCTTTCGGGTATGTAAATCATATACGATGATGACCACATGTCCATCCTAACTATGAAATCATACCATCCCAGCTAGGACGGGTTCCCCCCCCTGAGGTTCCCTTGTAAAAAAAAACACTGTGCGGTGACATTCATTGCTCTAACATAACACTTTTTCACGAATCCCTTGCAACAAATGGGACGAAGTGCACACGCGCGCGTCGTCGCGCGCGCATGCCGGAATCCTTCAAAAACCTTCGTTGCCAGAAGGATTTCGCAATCGAGTTTCCAAAACACATACAAAACACATGGTTTCGCAACACTGAATTTCTAAAAAAGCTTCCGCGCGAGCTCTTGCGAAATCTTAAGAAAACCATAGGTTTTTCAAGATTATCACAACATGCTACCAGACGGGCGTCGCGCGCGTGCATGTCGAAATCTGTCGAACGCCCTTGCGCGTGTGCCGTCGCGAGAGTCCTCTGCAAAAAATGGGACGAAGTGAAGACGCGCGCGTCGTCGCGGGCGTATGCCGAAAACCTTCAAAACCCATCGGTTTCGGAAGGATTTCAAAATCGTGCGTCCAAAAAACAAACAAAAAACCAAGGTTTCGCAACACGGATTTTCAACAAAGGCGTGCGCGCGCGCGCTCTTGCGTCGTCGTCGTCGTCGTCGTCGTCGTCGCCGTCCTCCCTCCTCCCGCGTCGTCGTCGTCATCGTCGCCTACGTCGTCCTCTGTCTTTTCTCGTGGTCGTCGTCGTCGTCCTCTTTGGCGTCGTGGTCGTTTCCGTCGTCGTTGTTGCCGTGGTCGTCCTTCCTCCTCCTCCCACGTCGTCGTCGTCGTCCGTCGTCGGCGTCTCGTCGTCGTCCCTCCTATTTCGTCACCGTCGTCGTCGTCGTTGTCGTCGTCGTCTTCCCTCCTCCCTCGTCGTTGTCGTCGTCGGCGTCGCCGTCATTCCTCCTTCGTTGTCGTTCGCGTCGTCGCCGTCCTCCTTCCTCCCTCGTCGTTGTCGTCGTTGTCGTCGTTGTCGCCGTCGTCGTCCTTCCTCCTCCCTCGTCGTCGCCTTCGTTGGCGTCGTCGTCGTCGTCTTCGTCGTCGTCGGCGTCGGCGTCGTTGTCGTCGTCGAAGTCGTCGGAGACGTCGTCGGTGTCGTCCTAGTCGTTGTCGTCGCTGTCGTCGTAGTCGGTTTGAACAGGTTTTGCAAACCACGTTGCGGGTGGGTGGGTGGGATGTTTGCGCGAGCAGTGGAGATGACGACTTCAAGTTCAGCAGAGTGGATTGCACAGCATAGATTGCACCACGTAGATTGCACACCATAGACTGCATCACGTAAGTTACACCACACCGATTGCACAACATATGCTGCACACCATTGACTCTGCTTTCTAAAAACAGAATAGACTCTACCCCCCGTCGGATTATCGCCCCCACTTTTCGTATCGCAATTTGCATATGATCCTGCCCCATCGTCCATCCGGTATATGAATTCGTACAATCCCAGCCAGGCCAGTATCGACCCCCCCGCCACCTTTTGCAAACTTACCCTGGCG